GAGCCCGATTGGCCCATAGGTGGCGCTATAGCGACCAATTGCGCAAAACTGCTCATAACTCCTAGACCGTAAGTCGTACACTCAAGTGTCTTATATCGTTGGAAAGCTGGTCACCTGACGAAAAAAACGTATATCTCCGATTTCATTTCCGTCATGATAGATTTTCCGCCATTTTGAATTTTGTCGAAAAACTACTTTTGCGAACTAGTCCCTGGATTTTTGCCCGATCGGAACCAAACCAGTGCAGAAATGTTCTCTGGAGTCTGAAGATCAATAATTATCAAAAAAATGTTGAAATTTCTCGTTCCGGTCGCTAGGGGAAGCAAAATAAACGTTGTGGGAGGAGCCTATTTTACTAAAATGGCTATAGCTCGAGAAGTAAATGAGATATCTTCACCAAACTCGGTACACATGTGTAAGAGTTCAATTTGAGGTGACAGTAAAAAAATCGCGACGATTGAACACTAGGTGGCGCTATAAAATGAAAAAAACAGATAAACACCTGACCGTCAGTCCGATTGACTTGAAAATTGGTATGCAGTGTCTTGGTCCAAGGCCTCATGTAAGTCTATAAGGACATTGGTGTATCTCAAAAAACATGGCCGCCATCGGCCAATGAAGTTTGAGCATCTATGAAACAAGGTTAACGAAGGCCGATCGGAACGAAACTCGTTGGGAATGTTCGACTCATGGCCCTAGAGGTCTGTAAGAATTTTGAAAGAAATCGGCCACTAGTTGGCGCTAACGAGTTTTATTGCTCTGTAATCACGTGGTGTTGCACACACCCCCACAAAATGTATATCAATTGATAGATCTCCTCATGATGAACAACTTTGCCTCAAGAACCATTGCTGTCAATCAATTCGTTCGTTAAATATTCACGAATATGTTAAAAACCTACTTTTGCGAACTAGTCCCTGGTTTTTTGCCCGATCGGAACCAGACTAGTCTAGGATAATTCTTTGGACTCTCTTGATCAATAATTATCCAAAAAAAGTTCAACTTTGTCATTTGTCTTGCTATAACAGGGTCATTTACAAAAGGGCGTGACAAAAAGCCCCCAAAAGCCTGTAAATCCTAAAGGAAAACTCAGAACTTTACAAAAATTGATGAGCATATGTGTCATAACATGCTGAAGAAGCATGCACAGTTTCATGGAGATCGGACCATAGGTGGCGCTATAACTGTTAAAAAGCTTTAAAACCATGTATTTCCAATGGTAAATTGCCAGTATTGGCTGTAAATGGTGTTTTCCATCTCTGATCATATCATAATGTTAAAACCAGTGCAGTACAATTCTCTGGACTCTCTAGATCAATAATTATAACAAAAAGTTGAACTACGTCATGTGGATGACTATAATAGGATGGCTTCAACATTTAGTGTGTTGAAGCCATCTATTACTACACTTTCAGTGTCCCTGAAAGCGTTGATCTCTTCAATAAACAAGTCAGAACACGTGACATTAAATAATCATGAACATTTTCAGACAGATCTGACAAAATATGCCTAAATAACAGTTAAAAAAGGTGAAATGATATCAAAATGATGGTCTATTAAGCCAATAAGTGGTGTTTTACTGCCCTCTGCTGTTCAAAATAGTAAGTGTCTCACTACTCAACTATAATTAATATTATGACTTTATTAATGATCTATTTTAACATTTGCAATCACATTTAGTCAAATATTGATCACAATCATTTTTTTTGTCAAAGTTTATCACTTCAGTTGTTCTGAATCTTCACATAATTGCTATTAACGTGGTAAATAGCTATACTATATTCCTAGAATCACATTAAAATCCAATCATCCAAGCCCCAATCACTGTAAATAATGATAAATCATGCTAGAACGTGGTAAATTAATGTACACTATGGTCAGAGGTGTAGTGGTAAAAAAAAGAGGTGGGTAAACTATAAATTCTGGTGTATTATTTCGAATAATAAGACACTATGGGCTGTTACTCTAGGGGCTGATCAAATTAAATCATTTACACTGAAAAAACACAATTGCATAAAATAATGTTATGACATTTATTTAAATTTACATAAGAAACTGGGAAAGAATGATACTACTTTTAAACATTTAACACTAAACCGCCAGTAGGTGGTGGCAGGCGACCGTCTTAATGAGTGAGTCATTCAATTCATTCATTCAAACGATTCGTTCAAACGGCTGATCATTCAAGAATGAGACCGATGTTTTTGAATGTGTCTTTGAATCTTTGACTCAATCGATTCGTTCAAAATGCTGAATGATTCAGTAATGAAAACACGTCGAGTGTTCCTGTGACATGTGCCGTGGTTCTGCTGTGTTGTTTGGAACTATTTTCGCTGCTGAAACACAACAAAAACAGCCAATATAGCATCTAAAATGTAAGTGATTTAATTTTTTACTGTTTATTGAACTGTTGTAGGAAATCAATGTCACATTTTCAATCGTGATGGTGTTCAGGAAAAATAAGAGACCCCATTTACACCTGGTATTAAAATGCGATCTGTATCCAGACAAGTTATCCGGATAATAAGTACCGATTCCATTTACACCTGGCCACATACATGTGTTTTTGCAAAACGGATATAAATCCGATCTTAAACTCCCGCGTACGCAGATTTAATGGATTGAACGACACCAAAAGCAACAGATATGAGCTGCATTTCGTTGATCATCAGCTAATTTCCAAATCAAAGACATCAATAAAAGAGTGGAAACACCGCTGGTAAGATAATTTCGTTTCTTTACTTGAAGATGATTGTGTGTTAAGCGTCTGTGACTTACTTTCACTTTTATTTGCGATGTTTGCACGTTGGCTCGATGAATAGACGCTCTGCTCATCTGCGGTGATGGGTGATCCGTGTCGCAGTAGCGCCGTCATATCTGACTATAACATGACATATATAGCCTATATAACAAGCTCACTCGTTTATTTTTTTGCCTTTTTGGGAGGAGTAAAATATACATATGTGGTTTCAACAACCAGATTGCGTTTACACCTAGTAAAGATCCGGACACAATGCGAGCCAGACTACCTCCAGATGTGGTCAGGCAGATCCAATCGCGATCCGATCACAACGCATTTACACCTTGCATTAACATGCGTTTTTTATTATCCGGATAACTTATCTGGATACAGATCGCATTTTAATACCAGGTGTAAATGGGGTCTGAGTGTGTTCTGCGCTCATTTGTGTAGATTTCTGCTCGAGAGGCTGCGCGAGGGTCAACAGTACAACCTTACCGTCAGTAATAGTCAACAACACAGTAATGTAGCGAAAATATGAAAGAGTTCGTCTTAGGTGCCTGTTGACTTTGGATCAATGCATTGTTTGTGTGTTGTTGCATAAGGAGATAAAGAAATAACACAATTGGTGACAGTGATCAATCAACACAAAAGGAACAATGATATAAATGAACAAAGATATGAGTACTAATCACAATAAACAGGCAGTAAAAAAATCATTGAAACAAACAATCTTACAACATGGCTCAGGGCACATGTCTGGCAAACAAATTAATCAATTAGCAGCGCACAGGCTGACAGTGACATTAAATCATAAAAAGGCATAAACAATGTAAACACAATCAAATTAATAGATGGACTCACGTAATTCATGAAGACACACACAGTGTGCCAGGAAAGAGTGCAAAGAATGAGCCAAAGGGTCACAATCAATTTATAGGCAACAGGTGAGTCGAATGGTGAAGTGGCAGAGTCTCATTGAAAAAGCGAAATGGAGTTGAAAGAGATTAGAAAGGAAATCTTTTCAATTACTATTAATAGTCGTGTGTGTGTGTGTGTGTGTGTGTGTGTGTGTGTGTGTGTTGTGTGTGTGTGCGTGTGCATGCATTTGTGTGTAAGCATGCTTTATGAAGTTAACGTGAAAAAAATGGTTTGCTTTAGTGCAGAATATTGGAGAAACAAAGTATTTCAAAATGGAAGTGTGCCAATAAGTGGTCTTCTACTGCCCTCTGCTGGCCACTTTTCTTATTAATAGTCTTTACTTGCTATATTGTGGTAAACCATCCTATAACATGGTATAGTCAAGGTAAACTATGGAAAATATGTTAGATTCATGGTAAATCATACTAGAACATGGTAAATCATGAAAAATCACATTGAAATATGGTTTATCATGGTAAATAATGCTTGCTACATAAACTTAATGTTCTTTTGATGCTTTTGTGCTTAAAGGCCTTAAAGGCCTAAACTGCTTGAACCCCGCAAAATGCTGCTTGCAGCTTTAATTATTATTATTATTATTATTATTATTATTATTCTGCCGTAAAACGCATCGTGCAGACAAACCGTAAGTGCTGCAGTTTGAAACTTTGTCAGATGGTAGTACAAAATCGAGGAGAGGTTATCAAATTATGAGCCCGATTGGCCCATTAGGTGGCGCTATAGCGACCAATTGCGCAAAACTGCTCATAACTCCTAGACCGTAAGTCGTACACTCAAGTCGTCTTATATCGTTGAAAGCTGGTCACCTGACGAGAAAA